TCAAAAAATAAAAGTCAGCAGCTACAAAAACTGTAGCTGCCGACTTTTAAAAAACAGCCACTTACCTGTCCCTCGGTCCCGCGGTGTGTCCCCTGCAGCCCGTTTCACCGGCCATCCTGTATTCCAGGAGGCCCGGCATCTTCAGTATGAGCACCCGGCTGTGATAGCTTGCGACTTCACAGCTGGGTACCCACTGCGCATGAGCGAATAGCGCTGCGCTTTGTGAATGGTCCTGTAGTCTTCTGGGACCTGTCACGTGTCTCAAAAGACTACAAGGAGGACACCTTCCGCTTCCGATCGCCTAAGCGATCGGACAGGAAGTGGGAGCGGGTACCTGTCAAATTCGGGTACCCACTCCCCCTCTGCCCCCCAAAGGTGCCAATCCTTAATGGGGAGCATTCCTTAAAGCGGAACTTCCCCTTTTGGGTGGAGCTCCGCTTTAAGTGACAACTTAATACCACCAAAAGAAAGCTCTATTTGTGTGAAAAAAAGGACATAAATTTTGTTTGGGTGCAGCACTGCATGACAGCGCAAGCACCAGTTGAAATAGCACAGTGCTGAACAACAAAAAATGACCTGGTCATGAAGGGTGGTAAATCTTCCAGAGGGCAAGTGGTTAAAGGAAGGCTGATACCACTTGTATATTTTATTGAGGTCTTTCCAGGACTTTTGTATCTTTGGACAATTCCAACATATACATATGTGCAAAAGTGAAATTTACAGCCTCACCAACACGTAGTTGGAGGTTCAAATTGAAAGAGATGTGCTCTTAGGAGAGAGCTATACCACCTCGCCAACCGTTTAAAATTCAGCTCTGTTGTTTTGGAATCTACTGAAGAAACGTTATACTTTTGCTTTACATGTTGTCAATAGGGTGGTGTCAAATTCTTGTTCTGATTTCTTCTGACATGGTGGTATTTCTGGGTCAGCAAGGTTACTGAGTATGTTTTATATATGAGAGAGACACAGTGTGTTGGTGTGTTTTGAGAATTAAGAAGAGGTTCCAAGGGCAGCACATTTTTTGTAGACTACAATGGTTTAGACAAGGACTTTAGAAATGGTTTAACTGGGGGCCTTGCCCTGAATCCAAAAGAAATGTGCCCTGTTTATCTCTGAGCTCTTGAAGAGAGCATATAGTGAATGCAGATAACACATCTTGTAATGTCAATACAGTGGAATTATTCCATTTTATGTAAGCTGAGCCAGAGCCAAGTTTCCTGGCGGAAAATAGTCAGTGCCAGTTATAGGCAATAATGGCTTTTAGACTGCTGAAAACCCTTATGTACCGAGTAACAAATTTGGAAAGTACTCTGCGTTGTCATCATGGCACCCAACTTTTAATCAAAGCACCAAAGACCCAATCAATTGATACATGAGATAATCAATACTTGGTAATATCTTTTAAAATCAGGTAAGGATAGCCCAGTCTCATGTTTTGCTTTAGTTAATAAAGCCTAAGAGAATCAAGGGCATTTGCATTTTCAAACAAACTTTATAATGATGGAACTCAGGGATTTAAAGTAGACTGGGGGTAGACTAACTGGGAGCAAATGAAAAGTACAGTGGTTAAAATAAGTATTGAACACGTCACCATTTTTCTCAGTAAATACATTCCTAAAGGTGCTACTGACATGAAATTTTCACATAGGTAACAAGCTATGCAATCCATACATAAAAGGAAACCAAAACAAATAAGTTCAGAAATTAGGTTATGTGTAATAAAATGGAATGACACAGGGCAAAAGTATTGAACACGGTAACTGAAATTTATTTAATACTTCGTACAAAATCCTTTGCTGGTAATGACAGATTCAAGACGCCTCCTGTATGGAGAAACTAGTCACATGCATTGCACTGGTGTAATTTTGGCCCATTCTTCCACACAGTCTTCACATCTTGAAGGTTCCATGGGCCTCTTCTCTGAACTCTGATCTTTACTTCTTTCCATAGATTTTCTATTGGATTCAAGTCAGGTTATTAGCTGGGCCATTCTAGCAGCTTTATTTTCTATCTTTGAAAGCAATTGAGAGTTTCCTTGGCTCTGAGTTTAGGATCACTGTCTTGCTGAAATGTCCACTCTTCTTTCATCTTGATCATCCTGGTAGATGGCAGCAGATTTTTATCAAGAATGTCTTGGAACATTTTTCCATTCATCCTTCCTTCAACGATATGAGGTTTGCCAGTAACGTATGCTGAAAAACAGTCCCACACCATGATGTTCCCACCTCGAAACTATGGTATGATGTTTTTGGGGGTGATGTGCAGTGCCATTTGAGCTCCAAACATGGTGTGTATTATGGCATCCAAAGAGTTCAATTTTGGTCTCATCTGACAAGACTATATTCTCCCAATATTTCACAGTCTTGTCTAAATATTGTGCAGAAAATTTTTAAACAAGATTCAACATGCTTTTCCTTCAGCAATGAAATCTTGCGTGGTGAGCATGCATACAGGCCATGGTGGCTGAGTGCATTACTTATTGCTTTCTTTGAAATAATTGTACCTGCTAATTCCAGGTCTAATTCCAGGTGTCTCATTACAGCTTGGTAATGAGACACCTTTTTATAGGTCCTCAGTTGAAACTGAACCAGCGAATATTAATTTGCACTGACAAAGGGTGGGATTTCTAATTACTGATAGATTTCAGCTGGTGTCTTGGCTTTCCAAGCCTTTTTGCATCTCCCTTTCTTCATGTGTTCAATACTTTTTCCCTGTGTCATTCCATTTTATTACATACAACTTAATTTCTGAACGTATTTGTTTTGGTTTCTTTGTATGAATGGATTGCATGGATTGTTACTGACATGTGTTGAAATTTTAATGTCAATAGCACCTATAGAAATATATTTTCCTAGAAAAATGGTGACGTGTTCAATACTTATTTTTTACCCACTGTATATGTTATTTTGGGTAGCATTACCGTTTTTTTATTAAGTCTATTCTTCCTACCCACGAGATTGACCTAGTTGGCAGTTGATTAAGCTTGTTTTTGCTTGTTTAAACTTGGGTGTCAAAGTAATCCCCAACTACTGAGGTTCTCTGCCCTGCCAGCACAGAACTCTTTCTACTTACACAACTGGGTAAATAGGCTGTGCACTCCAAGTGCAGTTGCTCTAGATCTGAGGGAAACATGCAAGGAAAATAAAAATACATTTTTGCTTGCATGATTGGATGAAAGAAATCAGCAGAGCTTCACCTCATTTCAGAACTTTCCCTCGGATCTAAAGCAACTGTACTTGCAGTGCACAGCCTATTTACCTTTAGTAAATCAACCCCAATGTTTTTCCAGAGGACTGGTGACCGATACAGGACAGCATATTCAAGGTGAGGTCAAACCAATGTTTTATTAAGGGGTAGAATTATTGATTTTTCCCTTAAATGTATGCTCTTTTAGTGCATTATTTTGCTAGCATTGTATGCTATTGATAATCCTTATTTCCAAGACTCCATAGATCCTTTTCCATCATTTATTCTCCCAGGGAGCCCTCCTAATGTCTCAGACACATGGGTTTTTTTTTTACCTTAACGTAGAGAATGCATAAAAGGTGAAAATGCTTTTAGAACCACTTTAATTCCAACCTCCACTGTGCATCATTATTAAACAAACTGAACAACACTGGTCCCAGGGCAGAACCCTGGGGTACATCAATTACAACTGAATCATTCAGAGATTGAGCCATTTAACCCCTCTCTCTGGATCGATTCATGTACCCAATTTCCTATCCTTTTAGATAGAATTTCATCAACTCCAACATACCTTATTTTACAGAGTATACATCTAGATTAAATATGTTCACTGGAGTACCACCATCCAATGTCTGACTTACTTTACTATAAAGAGATAACAGGATGGTCTGACAAGAACAGGCTTCCATAAATCCATGCTGGTTGTCAGTTATGATACCTTTATCACAGACAAGCTTCTAAATAGAGTCACTTACTATTCCCTCATACAACTTACATACTATTGATACATGCTACTATGGCAGCTACAGGAGAGTTAGATGTGACAATATAGTTGTAACTCACTAAAGTGCAGAAAAAATTGCTAAAGAGAAAACTGAAGTGAGTAGCCAATGCAATACAAGTTGCATTATTGTACTTGGGGCTGGACAAATCCTAGGTGTGTTAGCAGCAGGACAAATTCTCCAGTATCCAGCTCATAAGCTCACCTTGCTTGTAAGATGAGTGACCTGCATGAGTGCATTGTCAGGAAGAGAAACATGGCACAGATAGCCAGGGAAGCCTCTTACCAGCAGTGCACATGGTGTGGTAGGTCAATTATCTGAAAGGCGGGTCTGAATGGGGAAGCAATGAATGATTACCACTGTGGCCAGCTGCTCTAAAGGCGTTAAGGTAATCACTAATTACCATACCACTGACTATGACACAAAGGAATATGATTGGTATAGCAAGGGAGGTTAGGAGAACCGTAAATTAGGTATACAATTGCTGAAGGATGGGATATGTAAAGAATATTTGAGGAAGGGCATATTATAAGAACTGTGAAAATGGTTGCTATGGAAAAGGGTGAAGACAACTGTATCTAAGGCCCCTGCAGAGACCATGGAAAACAGATTACATCAGATCAAAGCTGCACTATGCTTAATTTGTACTTCTGGCTCCTAGATTGTTGCTAGATTTGTCTAACCTGACTATAGTGTCAGCTAATCAGCAGTGCGTACTGAAAGGCTTGCACAAAGCTTTTGTGCATATGCTACATTATTTCCCCCACCACCGTTTTACGTCAAGAAAGTTGCTGACTAACATTAGAATCAAGAGCTCAAGAGATTTTCCTCTAGATCTCAGACCACTTCACATGTGAGGAGACTAACTAGGCTTATCTCAGTTAGTCCTGTACAATGACTACCTCTTAACCCTTTCTTCACATCATTATGCTTACTACCAAGTTACAGGTGTGCTTTAGTCTTTTTCCAACAGTAGAATGGAAGAAAAGATACATTTGATTATTTTATGCAGCATGCAATGTAAAATATTACCTTTCTTCTGCACACTTTTGGATGAGGCAGTGAAGAACTTTTTTACTGTGGTAACCTTTCGTGTCTTTTCATTAGATTTCTTTTCTTCAAACTTGGCAAAGCCAAGTGAAGGCTGACCTCCCTGGGCACCCTGGCTGCTGGCATAAGCCTCCTCTTCTTCCCGCTGTAAGCTATAGGAGACACCAAATATCACAAAAGGTCACACATATACATAAACACCAACATTGTGCAGTGTTTGCTAAAATAACATTGACTTATGGATAGCGATTTAAGGATCAGCTCAAATACTGGCAAATCTAACAACCTGCTTGAGTGAAGGTCAACATGACTTTTAAAGTTTACTTTAGAAAGCTAAGAGAAAATGATAGAACAAGTTTTATGACAAAAATATGAAAGGTCCATGCCGCACACTAAAACAATGTCTTGGAGATGGTGAAACACATGCATGTTATTTCACTTTATGTGTAAACATAATTTGTTTCGTGTAATTGTACGTTTTCTCAGGAATAGTAAAGTACAAAGGCAAGAAGTGCACCTACAGCCACCAATCAGAGCCCGTCTCTGAGCAGCAACAAAAGCAGCTTTGACTTGATAACAAGACACAGCACTCCTTTAAAGTATATCTAAAGCTAGTTCCTTTTGTAGTTTTGGATAGAGAATGGTTAAAAACTTTTTTTTTTTACCGAATGTGTCTCACTGGGGATTTTTCCTCTCACCTCCTGTTCCAGAGACAAAACAAGACCTGAAAGGAAATCTCTCTAAAATTAGGGAGAATCCCCTCTTAACCCCCCCCCCCCCCAAAATAATTATGAAGATAAGAGGAAAAAAAGATTTGTGGTCCTAAAACATCTTGTCGCAGGTTGACCATGCTGCTCCAAAGATCAAAATGCAAAAAAATAGAGAAAAACATGGGACTTTTAAGGTGGCTGTAATGCACGTCAAATTATTCTTAGCTTGTTTTTTTGTTTATAGCATTAAAGAGGTTGTAAACCTTTCCATATATCCAGTGAAGTGATTGGCTTCAGGTGATACACAGAGATTAAACAAATCTTCCTACATGAGTTGTAATTGTTTACCTGCAGCCCTCTTTCCTCAGAAAACAGGGGGCAGAGAGCTTAAATTACAGACTGCAGAGCTCAGTGAGGAGAGCTCTAAAAGACAAGTAGAGGGATGGGACACCCCTTCACACAGCACACAGGATCACAGGCTGTCAATCACAGGCTGTGTGCTGGAAATCCCTCTCATCAGCCTTTTTCTCTTGGGGTCAGAAAAACGTGCCAGAAGTGATTCATGCTGATAGAGGAACAGGACAGCAGACCAATGACACTTAGTGCTCTTTATTGCAACAATCACACATTACAGAGGGATATGCTTTGTTCATATTTCATGTCTGAAGTTTACAAACATTTTAAGATATGTTCCGTGAAATACTGTTACAGAGCAGCACTGGTGCGCAAAATCACATATATTCATATATCTCTCTAATAGTGGGAAAATAAGGATGTACATTTCAGTTGGGTGCAACACTGCACCTAAATGAAATTTACTTCTTTTTTTTCCCACAGATAGAGCTTTCTTTCAGTGGTATTTGTTTGCCTGTGCAGTTTTTATTTTTTGCACTATAAATTAAAAAAAGAACAATTTTTTGAAAAAAAAATTTTTTTTTACTTTTTGCTATTAAACATGTCAAGTAAAAAAATTTTAAAAATCAAAATTTGATCATAAATTTAGGCCAAAATGTATTCTGCTACATGTCTGTGCTAAAAAAAAATCCCAATACATGTAAATTGGTTTACATGAAAGTTATAGCGTTTACAAATGGTGGTACAAATACTGGATTTTTTTTCCTTTTTTTTTTTTTACTAGTATTGGCGGTGATCAGCAGCTTATAGCAGGACTGCGGCGGGCAATCTGACACTGGAGGGAACTGACTTGGTGTCACTGACATTCCCAGTGACACCAATACAGTGATTAGTGCTAATAATAAGGGCTCTCCTTGTGAAAAAGTCCAGGAATTGACAAACGCGTTGGACACGTGACGTCTGACACACTCACGCGGAAACCGGAAAAGTCATCGTGGCCATTTTGAAAGTGGGGATATGTGTTTTCCTGAAGTCTCCTATTTTTACCCTTATGAGGATTATGGAGGATTGGCCACAGGAGTGATTGAAAGCTGGGAAGTGGTTACTTACTGACCAAGGATATCCTGATAAGCTTGTCATTACTTCCTGAGGGTAATTATTCAATTGCACTAGTTGGAGGTGATCACGGATTACTCACCTTATGAATTGGAGTGTTCACGAATACTGATTTGGTGTATATATTTATATTTTGACTTAGTAATATACATATATATATATATATTTTTTTTTTTATATTTTTTTTTTTGTATTTTTTTGTGTTTTGTGTGCTGTGTTTTTCACTTGTGATTAGAGTGTACACGATATACTGTTTGCATGATACACTTGTTTTTTCACAGCTGAATTTATGTATTTTGGTGCACTTATTATTTGTACAAATACTGTATTTTCACATTTATATTATTTATTTATAAAAGGTAATACACTATTATAGTTTTATTTTTTTGAGGTTCACAAAGAGTGACAGGAGAATTGGAAGCTCAACACTGGATTAAGAAAGCGTTTCTTTTGGACTATTGATTGGACGTATATTTTGGAAATTTTTTTATTTTTATTTTTGAACTTTATTTTTTGTTTATTATTGATTTATTTATGTTGGGGTTGGAATAGGAGTGATTTACATGTGTTTGATAGTCAGGTGGAAGAAAAGGTTGGTTACTATAACTTTACTTTCAAGGGTGAAAGTGTCACTTTTCTGAAAGGGTTTATTAGAGTGGGTATTCACTAAAGAGTAAGGCGTGCTGAGGTACCATTTATTGATTGCCAAGAGAAAGATGAGAGACATGAGACCGAACAATGCAGAAGAGCTGAAGGCCGCTATTGAAGCATCCTGGTCTTCAATAACACCTCAGTAGTGCCACAGGCTGATAGCTTCCATGCCACTCCGCATTAAGGCAGTAATTTCTGCAAAAGGGGCCCAAACCAAGTACTGAGTACATATGCATGCTTATACTTTTCAGAGGTCCTATATTGTTCTATGTACAATCCTTGTTTTATTGATTGCATGTAATATTCTAATTTTCTGAGATTGTGGATTTGGGGTTTTCATGAGCTGTAAGACATAATCATCACAATTATGACAAATCACGGCTTGAACTATCTTGCTTTGCATGTAATTAGTCTCATATATTAGTTTCCCCTTTTAAGTTGCATTGCTGAAATAAATGCTGAAATAGAATATCGTGCATTGCACGATATTCTAGTTTTTCGAGTTTCACCTGTGTATATATATATACATACACGCGTGATTTTGTGCACCAGTGCTGCCCTGTTGCAGTACTTCTGCTATAGGGCGGTGCGGAACTGGTTAAATAATTGTGTTTTTAATCTATTGATGGTTCGTGTTCACTCCCGATGACTTTACCACCTTAAAAGGCTCATGTTTTCTCTATTTTTTATTTTTATTTCGCATTTTGATGGCTTGAGGGATGGTTTTGCTATATTCTGTGTACCTGTCTACAGCTTTTCTGAACGTTGTTACCTTAGGAAGGAAATTGTTTATAAGCAGCATCACCCAGTAAATATAAATAAAAGGGCAGCACAGAGGCTAAATAGTTAGCACTTCCACCTGGCAGTACTAGGGTCACTGGTTCGAATCCCGGCCACGGCCCCACCTGCCTGGAGTTTGCATGTTCTCCCTGTGCCTGCGTGGGTTTCCTCCAGGTACTTCGGTTTCCTTCCGCACTCCAAAGACATGCTGGTAGGTTAATTGGATCCTGTCTAAATTGGCCCTAGTATGTGTATGTATGAATGTAAGTTAGGGACCTTACATTGTACACCCCTTGAGGGTTAGGGACTGATGTGAAAGTACAATATATACAGTATCTCACAGAAATTAGTACACCCCTCATTTGTGTAAATATTCTATATCTTTTCATGTGACAACACTGAAGAAATGACACTTTTCTACAATGTAAAGTAGTGAGTGTACAGCTTGTATAACAGTGTACATTTGCTGTCCCCTCAAAATAACTCAGGTCTCAGGTGTGAAGAGCGAGCAGGTGTGTTACATTTGGTGCTATCACTCTCACTCTCTCATACTGGTCACTGGAAGTTCAACATGGCACCTCATGGCAAAGAACTCTCTGAGGATCTGAAAAGAATTGTTGCTCTACAAAAGATGGCCTAGGATATAAGAAGATTGCCAAGACCCTGAAACTGAGCTGCAGCACAATGGCCAAGACCATACAGCGGTTTAACAGGACAGGTTCCACTCAGAACAGGCCTCGCCATGGTCGACCAAAGAAGTTGAGTGCACGTGATCAGCATCCTATCCAGAGGTTGTCTTTGGAAAATAGATGTATGAGTGCTGTCAGCATTGCTGCAGAGGTTGAAGGGATGGGGGGTCAGCCAGTCAGTGCTCAGACCATACGCTGCACACTGCATCAAATTGGTCTGCATGGCTGTCGTCCCAGAAGGAAGCCTCTTCTAAAGATGATGCACAAGAAAGCCCCAAACAGTTTGCTGAAGACAAGCAGACTAAGGACATGGATTACTGGAATCATGTCCTGTAGTCTGATGAGACCAACATAAAATGATTTGGTTCAGATGGAGTCAAGCGTGTGTGGCCGCAACCAGGTGAGGAGTACAAAGACAAGTGTGTCTTGCCTACAGTCAAGCATGGTGGTGGGAGTGTCATGGTCTGGGGCTGCATGAGTACTGCCGGAAGTGGGGAGCTACAGTTTATTGAGGGAACCACGAATGCCAACATGTACTGTGACATACTGTAGCAGAGCATAATCCCCTCCCTTCCGAGACTGGGCCACAGGGCAGTATTCCAACATGATAATGACCCCAAACACACCTCCACGATGACCACTGCCTTGCTAAAGAAGCTGAGGGTAAAGGTGATGGACTGGCCAAGCATGTCTCCAGACCTAAACCCTATTGAGCATCCTCAAATGGAAGGTGGAGGAGTGCAAGGTCTCTAACATCCACCAGCTCTGTGATGTCATGGAGGGGTGGAAGAGGACTCCAGTGGCAACCTGTGAAGCTCTGGTGAACTCCATGCCCAAGAGGGTTAAGGCAGTGCTAGAAAATAATGGTGGCCACACCAAATATTGACACTTTGGGCTCAATTTTGACATTTTCACTTAGGGGTGTACTCACTTTTGTTGACAGCGGTTTAGACATTAATGGCTGTGTGTTGAGTTATTTTGAGGGGACAGCAAATTTACACTGTTATACAAGCTGTACACTCACTACTTTACATTGTAGCAAAGTGTCATTTCTTAACTGTTATCACATGAAAAGAATAACAAAATATTTACAAAAATGTGAGGGGTGTACTGACTTCTGTGAGATACTGTATGTAAAGCGCTGCGTAAATTGACTGCACTATAAAAATACCTGTAGTAAATAAAAAATAAAGAATAAAGATAGAAAACCAATACAACCTCTGCACACAAGGACCGGTCAGCTGCAATACATTGCATTTTTGTTCTTGGGTTTAGATACAGTATATTGTAAATATTTCTACGCCAAATATGCACACATGATGGAACTTAAAATTTGAATTCACTTAAGTGACTTAACGACTTAGTGAAGAAAATTAAGCATTAACCTTTATGGAAAAACAAACTAAAAACAGACAGAATACCGTTCTGCAAGCTCCCAGTCCTCCTGGATTTGTTTCTGTCGAGCTTTCTGATATTCTTCCCTCCAGCATTTTGAGCAAAACCCTTGCCATGCTGGATTGCCATAGTAACCGCATCCTTTCTTACAGAGGAGTTCTGATTGGTCCACATGGATGGCCCTTCGCTCCGATTTGAGGCTCATCTTTTTGCTGGAGGAAACAAGAATGGACATTGATAGGGTACCAATAATGTTACTCTTTCACAAAAAAGTTGAGATAAAGTGCATTTACATTTCTTTACTAACTAAAAGATTTAAAGCTAAACTTCGGGCACAAGAGCTTTTAACTATATTCCTCAATGGTCAAAAAGGATATAAGTCCAATTTGCGTGGCCTTTGCAAACCCAGTTATCACCTTGTAAAAGCAGAAGTAACACCATCACTGTGCTGTACATTACCTGTGCTGTGAGCAGACCGGTGTGAAGGGGACACAGCAACATCTCCCAATACATGCTGCCTGCAGAAATAATGGTTGGATACAAAAAACTAGTTACCCTGCACAGCAGTGACCAGCCATTATTACAGGAAGCTCCTGCACAGGTGCAAAGATTTACACTGGATAACTGCACAGATCTGGAAGAAATACACAAAGTTCCCCAAGATTCAAGTAAGGACGCACAAGACTCTGATATTTTTTACAATAATTTGCCTGTCCTTGAGTTCAGCTTTAAAATATAACTTTTTTCCCCCAGGAATAAAACAAATGGCATTTCAGCATATTAAAGCCCCAAAGGGTTTCTAAAGCTCACACTTTTTATTTGGGACAACCAACATTGAAAACTTCTCTGCTGATCGTTTGCAGTGAGCGCTGGCCCCCTCCCAGGAAGGGTTAAATACTCTTTTAGTCTAGGGAGTTAAGAATAAGCAGTAATACCTTATTCTTCAAAGATGCATGACTAGTTCCCTAAAGCAGCTTCTCTTCACCACACCTCCTGTTGCAGGCTGACACTATCACGTACAATGTAGAACAAGCATTCCTCCATTACAAGTAAGACCACATCCTGGGATGTTGAAGAGCACCTGCTGCTGTGTAATAAGGAATAAGCTAAGCAGAAAAACAAGCATCTAGTCCTTTCAGTGTGTGTGTCTGTTTTGGAGGTGGGGGTGGGAGGATCACTGCAAGGGTAATTTTCACAGCTGGAGTTTAAACTTGCCTTGAGAGATACATGAGCCGCCATATATTATTTATTTCAGGTACTTATACAGTGCCGTCAATTTACGCAGCGCTTTACATACATATATTGTACATTCACATCAGTTCCTAACTCTCAAGGGGCGTACAATCTTTGGTCCCTAACTTACATTCATACATACACATACTAGGGCCAATTTAGACAGGATCCAATTAACCTACCAGCATGTCTTTGGAGTGTGGGAGGAAACCGGAGTACCTGGAGGAAACTCACGCAGTCACAGGGAGAACATGCAAACTCCAGGCAGTTGGTGCCGTGGCTGGGATTCGAACCAACGACCCTAGTACTGCCGGGCGAAAATGCTAACCATTTAGCTACTGTGCTGCCCAGATGACCTCCTTGTTGAAATGCTAGTTGACTGGCTAACACAGGGGTGCTTAACCTCTTGAAGAATGAGAGCCACTTAGGTGATTTAGCACCCAGTCACAGGTTACAATGAAATGGTTCAGAATTTCAAATTTGTTATTTTGAACAGCATAATGAACACTTTCCTCCTGGTGCTGCTGAATACCAGCATGAGGGAAAGGAGAAGAAGACAGCTTTCAGTGGTTGCAGGAGGAAAATGGAGAAGATCTGTACCTACATATGCCACTCCTTCTGTCCAAGTGTAAAACAGAATGTGACAGGGAGGCTGCCTGGGCCCCCTGGAGCATGGGGGGGGGGGGGTCACCATTGTGATCCCTGATGCTACGCCAATGGTTGGAGGATTGGAGGAGGGTGGCAAAAACACATCAGCTATGGGGTTTTACCATCCCCCAAACTGCACGTGTAATTGATCCCTTACTGTCCTGATCCCGTTATAAGGCTGCTAGAGAGCAGTGCAGGACCACTGGGAGGGGACCATTGGCAATAGCAGCCTACACAGGCCTCTCTGATAACTGTTTTTTTATTATTTGAGAGAGCAGTGTTGACACCGAAACATGATTTACAGATCATTTACTACAGGATTTATTCTACTGGCATAGATTCTTGTATTTATTCAGATTACTTGGTTAAATTTTAAGCCGAGTCAAAACATAATTATTAGCATTGGACAGAGAAAGGAAGGGAAGGGTTAGGTCTCCTGTTGGTTTATTAATACTATACTGGGCTCCATTAGAGATTTTACCTTCACTTTCTGTTCTTGTAACAATGGGTTCACCAGACCAAAAGTGAGAGTAAAACTACAAAAGCCAATAGAAATAAAAGTGCCTTTTTTTTTTATAGTAAAGTAGGCAAAGGCTAGAACCTCTGTCAGCTTGAAACAATTGTCACCGAGGCAGAGAAGAAAACTTTTGAGTCCCATATAGCAGTATAAGCCAAGAAGAGGGTCTAACCTTTCCCCACTATATTCAAGATACAGAAAAATAAGAGGTTTTGTTTGGACATAAACCAGGTGTGTCCAACCTTTTGACTTTCCTGGTCCACATTGGAAGAAGAGGAATTGTCTAGGGCCACAAATAAAATACACTAACAATAAGGATAGCTGATGAGTAGAAAAACTTGGTCAGATCACAAATGAACGGTCACCGATAAACAGTAGATAACATACATGTCTGAGTAATAAAACTTCCTTTTTTTTGTAATATTTTTTATTCTAAAAGTAAAATAGGACAACAAAAAACGAGTGCAATATCTTGATAAACTAACACATCAATATCTGGTTTGAGGGATGTAATAGCAATTCTCAATGCATTCTCAAGGTTTTCATCAGATATCTTGGTTCTAATTTTGCCCTTTGCTTCATCCTCGAAAACAGTTGCTCACAAATATATAGGTGCTGCCGAAAACGGATGACATGAATAAGGTGTGATTGTAAAGAGAGGGAGATTTTTATTTGCGAAGATAAATTTTAAAAGTCCAGTAGAGACACTGTCAAATTTTTCTTCAGTCACATGTGTTCCCTAGGTGTAAATGCATTTTTACAAAAAAAAAAAAAAAAAAATCACAAAAAAAATAAATACATTTTTAAGTAAGTTTATGATTTTGTGTTGAGCAGCAAGTTGGACACCCCTGACAAATTGTAAATTGTGTCTTCCCTAGGAGAAACATTCTTTCTATTTTTATAACTAGATCAGCAGTATTAGAATTATCTAAAGCTTCTACTTCTTTTTCATCAGCAGCAGAATCAGGTTGATTTCTTTCAGTCAGCCTTTATACATGAGAAATGAACAAAAGCATTAATCAGATCTCAAGGTTTAACTTAACTTTAACCACTTGCCCACAGGGCACTTGTACCCCCTTCCTGTCCAGGCCAGTTTTCGGCTTTCAGCGCTGTCACACTTTGAATGACAATTGCGCGGTCATGCAACACTGTACCCATATGAAATTTGTATCTTTTTTTGTGACAGAGCTTCAATTTGGTGGTATTTAATCAACTCTGGGTTTTTTATTTTTTCTTAAACAAACCAAAAACCACTGAACATTTAGAAAAAAAAAAGTTTTTTCTTAGTTTTTGTTATAAAATTTTGTAAATAAGTGATATAATTTTTCTCCTTCACTGATGTGCGCTAATGAAGCTGTAGTGATGGGCACTGATAAGCTGCACTGATGGACACTGATAGGCGGCACTGGTAGGTGGCACTGATGAGCTTTGACAGGCATCACTGATGGGCACTGTTAGGCGGCACTGAAAGGCAGCTCAGATGGGCATTGAAATGTGGCATTGATGTGCGATGGGCACTGGCAGGTGGCATGGATGAGCACTAACAGCTGGCACTGATGGACACTGACAGGTGGCACTGCTGGGGCTATACAGATCATCAGGGCACACTGACCATCAGTGCTCTAATGATCTGTGTACATGTCCCCTCCAAGGAATGCCGATTACCGGCTCTCCTCTCCTCTCAAACTGTCAGCGTGACAGCTCGTGAGGAGGGAAATGCCGATAACCAGCATTTCCCTGTTTACAGTGATCAGCTGTGATTGGACACAGCTGATCACATGACCAAGCCACATCTTTGGGCTCTTTCTGGGGATCGGTGATCCGCTATGTCCGAGGGACACAGTGCACTGCCGATCGCCGCGCTGCGTGGTCCGGGAGCCGTGCATGTGCAATTAGAATGGGAGGACGTCATATGCCGTCCTCCCAGAACGAGAACCGCCTTGCGTCCATCATTTTACTATATGGCGGGCGGGAGGCGGTTAAATAATTTGTTTTCATCAATCTGGTCCAAACTATTTACTGCACAGTTGCACCAGCTGTGAGCGCTGTATGAGCTGTATATTCAGTATACATCACTGTGTTCAAGTATCAAGACAAGAAGTTCCGGTCCTGCTCCAGAACAAAATTGAGCTAGGTTGAGTGCTGCTCCTATGAATGAAAACAGTTACCTTTGATTGCGTGAAGTGGAGAGCAGGCTGATGACATCACAGACTCCACCAATAAGTACACAGTAAAAAGCTCCTAATGGCTGCAATGCGCACAACCCGATTCAATTTTGTTCCAGGAGTGGAATGAGAAGCTCCTGTCCTACTGCCTGAACACAGAGCCGTATACTGCATGTAGCTGAGGCTACACTTTATACAGCTCTTACAGCCGCTGCAACCGTTCGTGAAGGATTTTGGACCAAATTGCTGCTTGCCTTATGTTTTGAAAAAAACAGAAACTTCTCATACAGGAATGTGAAGATTAATCTGCTTAAGGCTGTGTGTACGGGGCAACAAAAGACAACACGAAACTACATGATCAATGTGCATCTTATGCAGGTAGGAAGGTTAACAATGCTGTTAAAGTTGTTGGAAAACATACATTTAAAAAAAACAAACAAACATGTTATATTTACCTGCACTTCTTGGGGTCCCCTGCCAGTGCTCTAGGGCCTCCTCTTCTCGGAGCGCCACCACAGGAAGTTACTTCCTATGGGGGCACCACTCCAGGCTCGCTCCTGAGCCAAGCTGTGCACATCTATAGGCACATATAGTCCAGCTCAGCCCTGCGCCTTCCTCACAGGATTTGACTAACAGCAGCAGGACCCAA